TGTGGAGCAGAAGCCCAAGTGCTTGATTGAAATTCCAGCTCTATTTACCAGCTAGGGGACCTGGAACAAGTTATTTAACTTCTGGGTTGCTTGGTCTCATTTATAAGCATGATTAGTAACAGTGCCGACCTTACAGAGTTATAATAAGAATTAGATGAGTTAACATGTGTGTCTCTGCTTACTCTTTTTCACCTGTGCTTGCTCTTGAAAATAACAGTACGGCATAATGGCCGGGTAAAAGCTGGGCTCTGAAGCCAGCAGAGAGTCCTGGCTTGACTATTTACCAGCAGTGTTACCTTGGAAAGCCAATTAGGACTCTGTCTCTCTCTCTCTCAATCTCTCTCTCTGTCTCTTGATCTCTCTCTTACGCTCTCCTTCTCTCTTTTCCTTCTTTGCCCCTTCCCTCCGGTCTGTTGGGTTTCCCCCAATAAACCCTTTCCCTTAAAAAGAAAGAAAGATCTTGAACATTTTTTTCATGTGTCTGTTGGCCATTTTTCAAAAGAGGAAATCCAAACGGCCAACAGACACATGAAAAAATGTTCAAGATCACTAGCAATCAGGGAAATGCAAATCAAAACCACAATGAGGTTCCACCTCACCCCGGCTAGAATGGCTCACATTCAGAAATCTACCAACAATAGATGCTGGAGAGAATGTGGGGAAAAAGGGACACTAACCCACTGTTGGTGGGAATGCAAACTGGTTAAGCCACTATGGAAGTCAGTCTGGAGATTCCTCAGAAACCTGAATATAACCCTACCATTCAACCCAGCCATCCCACTCCTTGGAATTTACCCAAAGGAAATTAAATTGGCAAACAAAAAAGCTGTCTGCACCTTAATGTTTATTGCAGCTCAATTCACAATAGCTAAGACCTGGAACCAACCCAAATGCCCATCAACAGTAGACTGGATAAAGAAATTATGGGACATGTACTCTATAGAATACTATACAGCAGTCAAAAACAATGAAACCCGGTCATTTGCAACAAGATGGAGGAATTTGGAAAGCATCACGCTGAGTGAATTAAGCCAGTCCCAAAGGGACAAATATCATATGTTCTCCCTGATCGGTGACAACTAACTGAGCACCAAAGGGGAAACTTGTTGAAGTGAAATGGACACTATGAGAAACAGTGACTTGATCAGCTCTTGTCCTGACGGTTGATGTGCAATGTAATACTTTATCCATTTTAGTATTTCTTTTTTGTTCTAGTACTATTGGTTGAACTCTATAATTAACACACAATTATTCTTAGGTGTTTAAATTTTAACTGAAAAGTGATCCCTGTTAGGAATTAGGAAAGCATTATGCTGAGTGAAAGAAAGGGACAAATACCATATGTTCTCCCTGATCGGTGACAACTGAGCACCAAAAAGGAAACCTGTTAAAGTGAAATGAACACTATGAGAAACGGTGACTTGATCAGCCCTTGCCCTGACTGTTCATGAACAACTTAATACGTTATCCCTCTTAGTATTTTTTTGTTTGTTCTATTTAATACTTTTGGTTGAATACTGTAATCAATACACAGTTATCCTTAAGTGTTGAAACTTAACTGAAAAGTGATCACTGTTAAATATAAGAGTGAGAATAAGAGAGGGAAGAGATGTGCAATTCGGGACATGCTCAAGCTGACTTACCCCAAACGGTAGAGTTAGAAACATACCAGGGGATTCCAATTCAATCCCATCAAGGTGGCATGTACCAATGCCATCTCACTAGTCCCAGTGATCAATTTCTGTTCACAATTGATCATAATGATAGGACTAAGAGCCAAAGGGATCACATAAACAAGACTAGTGTCTGCAAATACTAACTGATAGAATAAACATGGGAGAGAACGTTCCAACAGGGGAAGCGTGATACTCAGCAGACCCATAGAATGGCAGATGTCCTAAACAGCACTCTGGCCTCAGAATCAGTCCTCAGAGCCAGGCAGATCGGGCCGAAACACCCATGAGAGTCTTACAGGCAGGGAAAGCCAAGATACACTGGGGGGAAAAAAAAAACTAAATGAAAGATCTCTGCGAGTGAGATCCCAGTGGAAAGAACAGGTCGTCAAAGAAGGAGGTACCTTTCTCTGAAGGGAGGAGAGAAATTCCACTTTGACTACGACCTTGTCTAAATATGATCAGAGTCGGTGAACTCAAAAGGCTTCCATAGCCTTGGCAGCTCATGACAAGAGCCTAGGGTGATTACTGATGTCATAAACAAGAGTGTCAATTTGTTAAGTCAACAACAGGAGTCACTGTGCACTTACTCCTCATGTAGGATCTCTGTCCTTAATGTGCTGTACATTGTGATTTAATGCTATAACTAGTACTCAATCAGTATTTTTCACTTTGTGTTTTCTATGTGGGTGCAAACTGTTGAAATCTTTACCTAATATATGCTAAACTGATCTTCTGTATATAAAGAGAATTGAAAGTGAATCTTGATGTGAATGGAAGGGGAGAGGGAGTGGGAAAGGGGAGGGTTGCGGGTGGGAGGGAAGTTATGGGGGGCGGGAAGCCATTGTAATCCATAAGCTGTACTTTGGAAATTTATATTCATTAAATAAAAGTTAAAAAAAAAAAAAGAAAGAAAAAAATAAAGTCAGAAAGCCAATCTCTTCTGAGTTTCCTCATCTATAAAATGGGGATAAAAACACTTCAGGAGGTGCTGAGAATTAAATGAAAAGGGACGCTCTCACACCTCACACAGTTCTAGGCATGCATGAGGATAGTAAACGCTCAGTGAATCGGTTTAAAATCCCTTTCTTGTACCCCTTAGTACTTCAGTAGGCACAATTTGGACAATACCATTCTCTTTCTTCTGACAGTCTCATACCTCCAGCATCCATCTTTAGTTATGTGCCATTTTCCATATTTGTAGACTGTCTATGATTTGTAGACAGATCAACATTCCTCCCCCTCTCCTTCCTCCTTGAATCGTTCATGGTTATCACGTCAAAATTTCAGAATTTCCTGTTCTTTGTGAACCATTATTTTGGAGCCTGTAGCAATGAGATTGTCTCTATTTTTTAATGAAATATCTGCTTTCTAAAATATAGGATTCATACTCAGTATGTCACTGTTATTATAATCTTTAAAATGAAATAATTTTTCTCAACAATCTATCTCCTCTACTTGCTCAATCATTGGTAAAAATTAAGTCCAGAATAATGGTTCCCTCCATTGTTTGCTTTATCTTCTATGAGACTAATTCATGAATAAATCAAAACTTGTATCCGGGTATTCTTAGCAAAATAAGACTTCTAACAGGTAATGACCTAGTTCAGAATCCATTATGACTCTAGACTGTTTCTCTGTAAGTTCTGTAATCTGTATGGGAAACCGCCATGCACAGTTCCTGTCATCCTGAGATTCTTTAGGAATTCTCCATCAGAACATCAATTCTGTTCTGTTCTTCTGGGAAAAAAGCCTTATACCATGTTTTCCCCTAGAGTGGTGGTTTCTATATTTACACACAAACACACACACACACACACACACTCTTGCTCTCACTCTTGCTCTGTGTGTGTCACTCATGACATTTGCTCCTCCCAGCTTTTCTTATTGTATCTTTTTTCAACAAAGAATATCTTCCAGTGTCCAGAATACCACCCTACTATCTCTTGGTGATGGGTATGTGCTTGTTAATGGTTTTCTCTTCTATACTTCCTTTATATGCAAAAATAATATATAACCTGTTCCCAAAAGGTTTATTCCAGAAGGCTTTCCCAAATGCTTTCTTTTTGCCTTGTGTGTTTCTCCTATTTATCCTTATAATTTTATCCAGGCTCATTTATCCTCCAGTGATAGATTTTATAAACCTCCTGCCAAAGAACCATGAAAGTGACTCCACCAGAAAAGCTCACTAGTGCAGCATCAAACAGTTCAGTTCCTCTGATACCATCCAACACATAGCTGCTTTATCTATCCTTATCTTCCAAAGTTATGAGCATCACACGAAGATATAAAAAGACAGGACCTGTGTCTGCTCTTCAGAACTTCAAACCCCTAAATTTCTTCCAAATATTTCTATTAATGCAAACATCAAAAAAAATCACGTCAATCAGACCACAAACTTTTAGATAGCAAAGACTGTGTGTATTTTACCCACTATTGCTTGGTATCCAATACATATTAGACCAGGGGATGCAAATTTTAGTCCATAATCTTGGCCACAGTCTGTTTCTTTATGGTTCATAGATAAGAATGGGTTTTATATTTTTCAGGGCAAAATGGAAGGGGAGGAGGGGGAGTAATGAGGGAAGACGACGAAGCAAAGGAGAAGTGACAGAGACAATCTGAAGTCCACAAAGCCTAAACCTCCCCATCTGGCTTTTTGTAGAAAAAGTCTGCTGACCCCTGTTTTAGATACTCAAATATTTGTTAAAAGAGGAGGTAGGGGAGTGGGAAGGAACCATACGGATGGAGAAGGGATGAATATAGAGATCATGGCAAACAGTAAACTCACAAAACTGTACAGGCCTTGACATCAGTCCTTGGATTTCTCATGAAGTTATAAAATAAACCAAAGGGCTTTCATTAGCATATTTTACAGAACATACATATATATTTGCAACTGATCTATTCTTGAGTCACAGGTGCTTCCAGGGGAACTAAATTTAAACGTTGGCAGTACACCTCTTCTCTAACTAGCCTAGCCAACATAAATGTCAGTCATCAGCAAGGTGTCAGCCTCCATAAGGTGTCAATTTACAGGTTATCACACCCTCATAAACACATCCTGTCCTTCCACATAGCACTAAGTAGGCAAGGGCAAGGTAACACTTCACAACATTGTATTCATCTTTTCCCATTGAACTGTGTATCTATTACTTCAAAGTCTAATCACTAAAAATATTCTACAAGCCCTGAAGTAAAGCTCTGAATACTAAAAAAAAAAAAATGTTTAACCAGAATGTGGAAGTCACAACCTCAAGTAACATAAAAGAGAAGAATAAGACCTATCAATAGAACTGTCTATCAGAAGTACATGCAAACGAGTACCTGAAAATGCTGCTCCATCACTTGGATTTTCCCCTGGTCTGGGCACTTTTTCAGAGCTCGATCTGCGTAATGGAACAGGATTTCTACCATCTGTAAGGAAAAGATATACCTTATTTCTAAAGTTTTTCAAAATTTAATATGTGTGGCCCACCTAAACAATACAGAATCAAGTTTTGCTATTATATTAAAAATATAATTTAAAATTTTATTGCATTATTCCTCAGCTTTTTTTTTTCTTCCAAACCCTGGCCTAATCTCTTTCAGCCTCAGGGCCGGTATTAATTTGCTCAGTTTTCCTAAGAAATAGCTCTGTGTTCTAGACCTCAGTAATATCTATGCTCAGGAAATGAAAAACTGAAGCTAAGCTCTTCAGTAATCTTCTGCTACAAGTATATTTCCCTAAAGAGCACAGATGAGCATATCATTCATGAGTCTAAGGGGTAACCATTCCATTCATGTTTTCTAAATGCTTCTACTAATTTGGGACATAATCTTTATACACGAATTTATACAAATCAAGGGGAGGAGGAGATCTGGGACTGGCATTGTGGCACAGCAGGTTGAGCCACAGCTTGTGAAGCTGGCATTCCATATGAATACCAGTTTCAGTCCTGGCTGCTACTTGCAATTGAGCTCTGTCAATGCACTTGGGAAGGTAGTGGGAGATGGCCCAAATGTCTGGGTTCTTGCACCCATGGGGAGACTGAGAGTTCCAGGCCTGTGGCTTCAGCCTGCCCAGCCCTGGCCATTGTGGCCGTGTAGGGAATGAACCAGTGGATGCAAGATTGCTCTTTGCCTAACTCTATCAAATAAATAAATAAATCTTTGGAAAAAAAAGGGGGGAAGGTATTTTGTAGTAAATAAATTCATCCAAGTCTACACCAAGACTACAAGGATAATAATAAGTATTAGATTGATTACATGAATGCTAATTATTAATAGTAATAACAAACAAAACATTGGCCTTTTTTACTACAGGCAACACAAACATTTGTACATACTGTAGAGTATTTTTCATATTTAATAATAGGTTCCTTTTTTTAAAGATCTATTTATTTATTTGAAAGAGTTACACAGAGAGAGGAGAGGCAGAGAGGTCTTCCATCTGCTGGTTCACTCCCCAATTAGCCACAAGGGCCAGAGCTGCGCCAATGGGTAGCCAGGAGCTTCTTCCAGGTCTCTCTTGTGGATGCAGGGGCCCAAGGACTTGGTCCAACTGCTGCTTTCCCAGGCCATAGCAGAGAGCTGGATCAGAAGTGGAACAGCCAGGTCTCGAACCAGTGCCCATATGGGATGCCAGCACTGCAAGCAGCAGCTTTACCAGCTACGCCACAGCACTGGCCCCTAATAATAGGTTCTTAAAAACTAACAAACTTCAATTTTTTATGAGCTATAATTAAATTCAGACCAGGTTTTCCTCCTTTCAGATGTCTTTTATACTACTTGGTTATCTTTGTAAGAGAGCAAGGGAAACAAAAAGAAAGGCAATAAGGAATTTAGAAAGCACTCAAGGAGCCAGCGGGTAAAGCTGCTGGCTGCAGGGGCCAGCGCTGTGGCATAGCAGGTAAAGTTCCCACCTGCAGTGCTGACATCCCATATGGGTGCCTGTTTGAGTTCTGGCTGCTCCACTCCCCATCCAGCTTCCTGCTAATGCACCTTGGAAATCAGCCGAGGATGGCCCAAGTGCTTGGGCCCCTGTACGCAAGTGGGGGACCCAGACAAAGCTCTCAGCTCCTGGCTTCAGATAGGCCCAGCTCTGGCCATTGAAGCCATTCGGGGAGTGAACCACCAGATGGAAGACCTCTCTCTGTCTCTCCCTCTCTGTGACTTTCAAATAAATAAAGAAAAAGCTTTTTAAAAAAGGAAGAAAGAAAAGCATTCAAGATGATGCCACAGAATTACAACCTGGCTTGTTTTTCTGACACTCTCTCTTTGATTATAGTCACTTAACCAATCACATCCAAAGATATTGGCAAATATCAATGGCAAATCTGTACTGTACTGGAGAAAAACCCTATTAAAATACTTACGCGATCTGCAACAACAGCCTTTCGCTTGTTGGCATCCCCTGATAATCCTGAAGAGAAGCAAAATCCAACAAGACAAAAATTAGTCCTCCCTTTCAGGAATGCAATTGTGTTCTGGTCTTCTGCTCATGATCTGTGCTAATAACACATGCAGTTACAGCAATCCTTAGGAAGCAAAATACTCGATAATACGCCATGACAGGCACATTGCATATCTGCCAGATCAGGTAGCTTATCAATGTACTTCTCTGTTGTTCCCATAGTAAATTTTCCTTATGAAAGAATTTAAAACGTGCCATTTTCATTTCCATGCCCTTTACTTGTCATTAGCCTTCTTTACTGAAGGTCTGTAAGGTTTAATAGCATCTTGTAATAAAACACTTGAACACCAGCTAAAGTGATCTATGAGTGAACAGTATGATTCATTCCCTCTGCTCTAGAGAAACCCTGTCCACCATGCTGAGAATCTGTCAGCTTACCCACTACTGCTTTTGCTTTTCCTTCATGGAAAGACCACGCAAGAGCCAAGGCTTCTGTAAGACAATCTTGTTTCAGAAGATGATCCACTCTCTAAAATGAAGAAACAATGGAAGCCAGATCCCTCTGACTGGTCAGTCACCATTCCAAATTCCTCTCCACCTAGTACCTTTCCAGAAGTTGCTGTTTAGTTACTAAAATTATTCAACAACTAACTAAAGAGTTTATATAAACTTCCATACTAGCCATGTACTGCCTAAATTTAGATAACTTTGATGTGAGAAATATATCTTAAGTCACTGTTATTTTGAATTTTCTGATATAGATAAACTTCATTCTAATTCATAAGTCAGCTTTAGCATTTCAAATTCCTGTTACAATGGTTTTGATGTACATTTCTGAAATTAATAAGCACAAACCCAAATACTCTTCCGCAAAGTTGAGACAGCAATGTTAAGAAGCTATCAGGGACAGGTGTTTGGTCTAGTGGTCAAGATGTCTGTTAAGACACACATATCCCACACTGGAGTACCTGGGTTGGATACCCAGCTCCAGCTCACGACTCCAGCTTCCTACTAAGGCAGACCCCAGGAGGCAGTGATGATGACTCAAGTAATTAGGTTCCTTCCTGCCACCCACTAATTACTTGAGTTCCCAGCTCCTGGCTTCAGACTTATCCAGTGCCAGCCACAGTAGGTATCTGGGAAATGAAGGAGCAGATGGGAGAACGTTCTCACTCTCTCACTCTCCACCAGCCCCACCCAGTTCTCTGTCTCAAATTAAAGAGAAAAAAAAAGCAGCTATCAATTCAGTAACTCCTACATATAAAACTACTGTGAGCTCACCTCTCTCCAGCTTCTCAGCATCATCACATAAACAGACTAGAAATGGAAAAAAGAAATGGAAATGATCTTCACCAGACTTATTTGAAGACATACTTGTTCTACTCCCACATGTCATTTTACATCTAAGTAAAACTATTTCATACTACAATTAGATTAACATCTTAAAATTTACTAAAAGGTCTTCAAGAGCCCACATTAATGATTAAATAAAATAAATATTTAAAAGCCAGTAAATGGGATGCACGTTCGGCGCAGCAGTTAACATGCCATTTGGGATGCCAGTATCTCATATTGGAGGGCCTTGTTTGATTGCCGGTTCCTCCACTGCCAATCCAGTTTCCTGTTAATGTGCACCATGGGAGGCAGAAGATGATGGCTCAAGTACTGGGTTTCCTGCCAACCATGTGACAGACCCAGATGGAGTTCCAAACTCCTGCCTTAAGCCTGGCCCAACCCTGGCTATTCTAAGTACGTGGGGAGTGAAATAGCAGATGGAAGATCTTCCTCTGTCTCTCTGCTTTTCAAATGAAATGGAAACAGAATATTAAAAATCAGAAGTCAGTGGGGTCAGCGTTGTGGCATAGCAGGTATAGCCACTGCCTATGACTCCGGCACCCCATATGGGTGCCGGTTGAAGCCTCAGATGCTCCCCTTCTGATCCAGCTCCCTGTTAATGACCTGAGAAAGCAACAAAAGGTAGGAGATCTGGATGAAGCTCCTGGCTTTAGTCTAGCTCAGCCCTGGCCACTGTGGCCATTTGGGGAGCGAACCAGTGGACAGACAATATCTCTGTCTCTCCCTCTCTCTCTCTGTAACTGGCTTTCAAATAAATAAACAGATCTTAAAAAAAAAAAAAAAAAAAAATTAGAAAGGGCCAGGGCTGTGGCATGCTGGGTAAAGCTGCTGCCTGCAGTGCCAGCATCCCATATGGTACCAGTTCAAGTTCCAGCTGCTCCACTTCCAATCCAGCTCTCTGCTATGGCCTGGGAAAGCAGTGGAAGATGGCCCATATACTTGGGCCCCTGTACCCATGTGGGAGGCCCAGAGGAGGCTCCTGGCTCCTGGCTTCAAATTGGTGCAGCTCCAGCTATTGCGGTCATCTAGGGAGTGAACCAGCAGATGGAAGACCTCTCTGTCTCTGCCTCTACCTCTCTGTAACTCTGCCTTTCAAATAAATAAATAAATCTAAAAAAAAAAAAAAAAAAAAAAAGAAGCCAGTAAGTCTACAGTCCAATAAGGAGTTAATTCTATGGGTGAGGAACAAACAACAGTGGCTGTAACAAATACAAAAACCACTCAAGCTCATCTCCTTGTACCAACTTGGCAATATTCTAGTTGAATTTTAATAACAAAGAATGTTTCTCTGTAAGTTTAAATAACAGGGGCCAGTGCTGTGGTATAGAGAGTAAGGCCACGGCCTGCAGTGCCTGCATCCCATATGGGCACCAGTTCAAGTTCTGGCTGCTCCACTTCTGATCCAGCTCTCTGCTATGGCCTGGGAAAGCAGTAGATGGACCAAGTCCTTAGGCCCCTGCACCCACATGGGAGACCCAGAAGAAGCTCCTGGCTCCTGGCCTTGGATAGGTACAGCTCCGGCTGTTGCGGCCAATTGGAGAGTGAACCACCGGATGGAAGACCTCTCTCTCTGCCTCTCTCTCTGTGTAACTCTGACTTTCAAATAAATAATAAAAAAAGTTTGAAGAACTATGCAGGGCCGGTGCTGCAGCTCACTAGGCTAATCCTCCGCCTTGCGGCGCCAGCACACCGGGTTCTAGTCCCGGTCGGGGCGCCGGATTCTGTCCCGGATGCCCCTCTTCCAGGCCAGCTCTCTGCTGTGGCCAGGGAGTGCAGTGGAGGATGGCCCAAGTCCTTGGGCCCTGCACCCCATGGGAGACCAGGATAAGTACCTGGCTCCTGCCTTCGGATCAGCACGGTGCGCAGGCCGCAGCGCGCTGGCCGCAGCGGCCATTGGAGGGTGAACCAACGGCAAAGGAAGACCTTTCTCTCTGTCTCTCTCTCTCACTGTCCACTCTGCCTGTCAAAAAAATAAAAATAAAAAAAAAAAAAAAATGCAAAGAAATAAATTGACATTCAAAAAGTTCCTATTCCAATGATTCAAATATCTCAATGCATTTTAATGCTCTTAAGCTGATATAAGCTAAAGGCTATTGGAATTATATGGCAAATGTACATGATTAAGTATCTTCCTGGTCATGAAAACATAAATGCGAAGGTAAGTTATGAAAGCATATCCAGGCCGGTGCTATGGCGTAGTAGGCCAAGCTTCCACCTGCGGTGCTGGCCGGCATCCCATATGGGCACCAGTTTGTTTCCCAGCTGCACCTCTCCCAGTCCAGCTCTCTGCTATGGCCTGGGAAAGCAATGGAAGACAGCCCAAGTGTTTGACCCCTGCACCCCCGTGGGAGACTTGGAAGAAGCTCCTGTCTTCAGATCGGCCCAGCTCCAGCCATTGTGGCCATTTGGGGAGTGAACCAGTGGATGGAAGATCTTTTTCTCTGTCTTTCCCTCTCACTGTCTGTAACTCTACCTCTCAAATAAATAAATAAAATCTTTTTTAAAAAAAATTAGCTGAGGGGCCAGTACTGTGGCACAGTGGGTTAACGCCCTGGCTTGAAGCGCCGGCATCCCATATGGACGCCGGTTCAACACCCGGCTGCTCCACTTCTGATCCAGCTCCCCGCTATGGCCTGGGAAAGCAATAGAAGATCACCCAAGCCTTGGGCCCCTGAAACTTCGTGGGAGACCTGGAGGAAGCTCCTGGCTTTGGATCAGTGCAGCTCCAATTGTCCTGGCCAACTGGGGAGTGAACCATCGGATGGAAGATCGATTGATCTCTCTCTCTCTCTCTCTCTCTCTCTGCCTCTCCTCTCTCTATGTAACTCTGACTTTCAAATAAATCAGTAAATCTTAAAAAAAAAAGCTGGTATTATTTAAAAAAAGCATATCCATGAGTCAAGAAAATAAATATCCTATTAACTATAGCTAGCATGAGACAAAAGTAAAAGTATGTCTAAAAGTGAAGGAAAGAAATTAACCAAAAATCATGATGATCTAACCATAAAGTTTTAGATCATCACTAATCAATATTCATTTTATAATACTCTATCCTCTTCACCAGCAATTTCCTTTAGCTCCCAACCCTCCTGATAAACACAAACGCCAAACCATAGAATAGAAGAGCTTACTTTTGTCCCCAAATAAAAGATCTGACCACCATAGCTACTGATGGATTGGTAACAAGCCTTCTCTCCAACCAAAGCCTATGGAAAAATAAACAAAACAGGTGAAAATTACATGCATTCAAAGTCTCATTAAGTTTTAAGAATGTCAGCTACAGAGACAACATTTTAAGTCAGCATGGTTTCATCCCCAAAGTGACTAGGGGAAAATGTCAATCAAATACAGTGGAAGCGACAGGAGAGATAGGGTTCATGAAATAATTCTCTGCTTAGATACATAGCCTTTTTATGTTTCAGAATAATGTGGTAAAAGGAGGAAATACAACTTCCAAACCTAAAGGAAAACAGATGCAAACTCTCTGGATGACAGGTAGTCAGTGCTTTCAGCAAACAATGAGACTGACTGAAAATAGTACCTTCCACATTCTTTGAAATAAGTATCAACATGTAACACAGGGGAAACAAGGAGACCAGAGCAGCACAGTACATATGAGTCAGCATAGCCCAGCAAACAGAAGAGAAATTCACTGACAAATCTGAGCTGCAAATTTTAGCTCTTCTTACAGGATATGACATCAAACAAATTTCAAATCTTTGACATTCAATTACCCATCTTTGAAAACCCTTGCTGTTTCTTTGGGATTTAAATATTGTAGTATTTGTAAAACTCCCAAAATGTACATGGTCAGTAACTGATAACTATGATAACTTTTCCTAAATTTTTACTACAGGAATTTTAAAGTGTCTACCAATGTAGAAAGAACAATGTAATTTATCCCTGAATGTATCAATCAATCAATTAATGATCACCAATTCTGTCTTATCTACCTTTCCACCAATCCATTACACAGTATAATTATGAAGCAAATTCCATATTTTGAATATTTCATTTTTTAAAATCCAGCTTATGTGTTTTTTTATTTTATTTAAGATATATAAATTTCATGTATTTCCAATATACAGTTTTAGGAACATAGTGACACTTCCCCCCATCCTCTCCCTCCTGACCACACTCCCCCCTTCCTCTTCTCTCTCCTATTTCCACTCTTAATTTTTACAAGGATCTGTTTTATTTACTTTATACTCATAAGATTAACCCTACACTAATAGCTTGTCTTTTCTTTAAAAAAAGTCTTTTTTCACATAACCACAATTCCATTAATATATTTTTAAAAATTAACAATCAAACTTCAATATTAAATATTCAGTCAGTGTTTAGATTTCAAATTGCCATAAATGTCAGATATTGTTGAGGTTTGGGTTGTTCATCTGTCTGAATCAAGATCCAAACAAGTCCCACGGATTGGAGCTGGCTGATGCCTCTTAGTTGCCTCAGCTCCATCTCTCAATCCTTTCTTTATTTCCTTTAAAATGTACTTGTTGGAAAGCTGGAACACTTATTATTCTATTATTTCGCAGTATTTGAATTTTACTGACTGCATCCCGTCAGAACACATTCCTCCTATTCTGCATTTTCGCTAAAAGAAGCTTGATCAAATTCCGAGTTTTTTGTTTTGCTTTAGCTTGGTGGGTTTTCTGTTTGGTTTTTTACAGCACTACTTCATGTATTAGCTGTAGTATTTTGTAGATGCCCTTGATTATGAGGTTGAAAAAATTCCCTCTATTCCTAATTTGTTGAGAGATTTTATCAGGAATGGATATTAAATTTTACCAAACATTTTTTTCTGCCTCTATTGAGTTAATCTTCTTCAATCTACTACTATGGTAATTAACATTGATTTTCAAACGTTAAAATAGCCTTGTACACCTTGGAGAAACACCATTTGGTGATGACTTATTACTCCTTTTATGCATTTCTGGTTTCTAATTACTAACATTTTACTAAAAACTACAGCTTCTATGCTCACGAGGACATTAATCTTTTAGAGTTCTTTATTATAATGTCTGGTTTTATGTCAGAGTAACCAGCCTCACAGAATAAGTTACATATTCCCTTCTCTTACATTTTTTAAGATTTCTGTCAAGAATTGATACTACTCCTGCCTTAAACGTCTGACAGACTTCAGTGAAGCCATAAAGGCCTGGAGTTTCTTTATAGGATGATTTTTAATTATAAAATTAATTTATTTAATAAATACAAGGCCACTTTGACTTTCTGTTTTTTTTCTTGAGTCAGCTTTGGCCATCAGTGTCTTTCAAGTAATTTTTTTTTACTTCATCGGAAGTTATGGAATTTATTGTCACAAAGTTGCTAATATTACTCTTTAGTATCGACAGAATCAAGAGATCATTCTACAGAGTAATATCACCACTCTCATTCCTGATTTTGGTAATTATAGCTTCTCTTTTTTTCTCATTAGCTTCACTTCAGGTTTAACTATTTTATTCACCTTTCAAAGAACGAGCTTTTGTTTGCTTGATTCTTCTCTATCATTTGTCTATTTTCTATTTAATTGACTTATATTCACTTCCATTATTTCTTCCTTTAATCTAACCTTATACACTCTTCTGTTTCCTTAATTAATTGACGTAGAAGCTTAAATCATTGATATCTTTCCTCTTTTCCAATATAAGTATTTAATGCTATAAATTACCCTCAGAAAAACTGATTCAATTGTAGACTACAGATTTTGACATACTGTATTTTCATTCAGTTCAAAATATTTTCTAGTTTCCTTTGCAATTTCTTCTTTGACCCAGGGTTATTTACAAAAATGTTGCTTAACTTCCAAATATTTTGGTTTTCTCCAAATTTACATGCTAATAATTCCAATCTTTTCCAACTGTTAAATTTTATTTTATGGTCTAGAATAGAATCTATATTGGTGAATGCTCCACATGCACCTTGGGAAAAACGTGCAACTTGATTTTGCTGGGTGGAGTATTTCCTAAGTGTCAGTTAGGCTCAGGTGGTCAAGCGGTGTTTTTGAAGTTTTCTATATCCTTTATGATTTTCTGTCTACTTATTAATACTAAAAGAGGAGTTTTACATTTTCAAGTGTAATTGTGTATTTGTCTGTTTCTACTTTCAGTTCTGTCAGGTTTTGCTTTATACATTTTGTTTTCCTGTTACTGGGTACTTAAATTTTCAAGACTATTATGTTTTCTTGATGAATTAACCTCCTTCCATCATTTTTAAAATTTCTTTTTATCTCTAACAATATTTCTTACTCTGAAATCTACTTAGTCTGATATTAACACAGTCATTCTCATGTCCAGCTTTTGCATGGCATATCTTTCTCCATTCTTTTAATTTATCTATGTTTTTGGAGATGTTAAATGCAGACCTAATGTAGATTTACTGGACACAGCATACAGTTGGTTCTTGCTTATTTTCTCAGGTTTGATCCCCTCCTTTACTTGAAATGTTTAGGAACATTTCCATTCTCTGTAATTACTGATTATGGTTCAGTCTATGTCTATTTTCACACAAACTGTTTTCTACCTGTACTATCTCTTTTATATTTCTTTGAAGTATTTTTAAGATTCTATTCTTTTTAAATGACTTTTCTACAGTTTACAACATGCAACTTCAACCTATCCCAGGTCATATTTAAATAATACTATTCCACTTGACATATACTTACAAACACATCCACATCCACTTAAATTTCATGACTTAAAAGAATCTCCTCAGGACAGAAAAGTAACTCCCCAGAGTTTCTATTTCTAAAAGAAATAACCAACAACAAAATACCCAGTTTACTGAAGCAGTACCAAGATGACGAACACCCTCACCAGCGCCTGGCTGACGTTCCCTCCGGTGGCCAGCGATTTGAAATGGCTGCTGTTGTAGACCAACTGAACTTCTGAGATCTCCACTGTTTCCAGCTCCTCTTGCGTCTGTCGATCAATCACATGCAACTTCTCTACGCTGTCCAAGAGCACAACCGTTCGTGAATTTATCCACTGCAATTCAAACAGAAGATAGAAGTGAGGCCCAGGTCATACCATCGTTTGAGCTAAGAAGAAAGCTGGTCACTCAGCTACATTACTTTGAAGATCTCATCCACTGAATAACTTATTTAACAACACAATGCCAGCAAGAGCTGCTCAACTGACAGCCCAGAGAACAGCAGGTGTACAATACAGTACTGAGTTTGATGATGTTAAATTGGTATTTTCATAGTGTAAAAGAAGATAAAGAGTGAGTTTTTACAGAGAAAAAAATTTAAAGGAGCACTGGCACAAATGACCTCAGCATAAGGGCAAATTTTGGATTTCTAGTTTTTATGCTATTAGGACAAAAGGGCAAATCAAGCCTCACAAACTTAGCTAGTCAAAGGATGATGGTTAACACTAAATAAAACAATACGTAATTTAAAATATAAGTGATTTGAAAAATATAGTCTCTTCAAAATCTCCCTAAAGATAGGTTGGTGTTATAGCACAATGAGTTAAGCTGCAGCGTGGGACACTTGCATCCCATATCAAGAGTAGCCAGTGAGAATCTCAGCAACTCCACTTCCAATCCAGCTTCCTGTTAATGTACCTGGTAAGCAACAGAAGAAGGCTCAAGTACGTGGGTTCCTGTCACCCACATGAGAGGCCTGGATGGAGTTCCTGGCTCCCGCCTCTGGTCTGGCCTAGCCCTGGCTGTTGCGAGCATTTGCAGAGTGAACCAGTAGATGGAAGATTTCTTTCTTTCTCTTTTCCCTGACATTATGCCTTTCAAATAAATAAATTTACTTATTTATTATTTGTATTATCCCTCGGACAGTTCCTTCTGCAACACACTTTCCTCTTTCCTCCCAGCCAGCCCCAGTGGGCCACCTTTACAGGCTCTAGGAATAGGACAGGAAGTAACATATGTGTTTCCTCACTGGGAAATAAACCTTTTTTAAAATTCAAAAACTCCCTAAAAATTGTGAGTTCTTTACTGTCACTATTTCTCTGTATCTTCTGAATTTCTGTTAATAAGTACTATTATAGTTTTAAAAGTATTAATAATTTTAAAAACCTTCTGAAAGATACCACTGACAGATATCTTTGATTCTGTAAAAAATAAGATTTATTATTAAAAACATTTGTCTTAGAAATCTCGATCCTTCCCCCTAAGAAATAAATGGGCTCCACTAGCTCCTGGAAGTGGACAGAACTAAGTGCTTCCTCTGCACCTCAGCTCTCTGGTGTTCATGTTGGTTTCCTTGTATGACCTATTCAAGGATCTCTGCATAATACTGTATCTAAGATAATCAGATTAAAAGATTTTCTTTTAACATAAGCAAACTTATGCTGTATAGTGGCTATTATAAAGGAAGAATTTGGTTGTCCCCCATAAAATCTCTCTCAGAAAACAGAGTTAGATTCACAAATCTTTTACAAAGAGCTCTTATAAAGGTTTTCTGTTTATTCTGAAAAACAAAGTACCACTTAGGAAAGATATATTTATTTAGCATGAACAGCCATAGTTTTTAGGGTGCTTTCAAAGGTCACCTGGTTAAAGCAAAGAATGACAGAAACAAAGAATGTTAACAATTTTACTAGTTATTCCTGAAATTAGACTCATAATTCAAAGTGCTAGCATTGTTGTAAACAAGCTTTTAAAGGTAATTTGCAAAACAGTGGTCACACAGGTTCATGGTCACGTCATGGAAATGTCACAGGACAAATGAAAACACCAACTGTGTCCTATAGTTAAGAGAACAGCACTTGTGGTTGGGGAAGATTTTCCAGCGACAAACTCTAGGCAGGTCTTAACAGTACTAGATCTCAACAAAACTATGATCAATGATTCAACAAAGGGTGATAGCAAAAACACGATGTCTAACAAAATTATTTTCATGAAATGTATATAGAAAAATTATCTCTATATGAACTGTCTATATATGAATTTAAAATGCAATGTGTGGAGGCCGGCACTGTGGCATAATGGGTAAAGCCACTGCCTGCAGTGCTGGCATCCCATATGGGTGCCGGTTCAAGTCCCAGGTGATCCACTTCCAATCCAGCTCTCTGCTTTGGCCTGGGAAAGCAGTAGAAGATGGCCCAAGTCCTTGGGCCCCTGCACCCATGTGGGAGACCCAGAAGAAGCTCCTGGCTGGCTCCTGGCTTCGGATCAGCCCAGCTCCGACTGTTGCGGCCATTTGGGGAATGAACCAGCAGATGGACGACATCTCCCTCTCTCTCTCTTTCTCTCTCTCTCTCTCTCTCTGCCTCTGCCTCTCTGTAACTCTGCTTTTCAAATAATAAATAAATAAATCTTAAAAAAAGCGCAATGTGTGGGGTAGACTTCTGCCACAGCAGAAAATCCACTTGCAAGCCATACCAGAGTGCCAGAGTCTCACTCCCCTCCTGATTTTGTTAGCAGGAAGGCAGACATTAGCCTATAGATGTGCGAGGGGCTAAAGAACAAAACCAGGAATTTCATGCAGCTGAATGAGGGAAGGAAGACCAGAGAGAGGCATGCCTGGGAAGCAGACCAACAGTTGCACCTTGTCTATCCCTTGTTAGGTGGGTCCCAGCCCTGCCCTGGGGGCAGCTTAGGGAAATCTTCCCCACCTGTGCCAGGGATGATATTAGGTCTAATAAAACTGTTATGGTAAAGTCATGGGAGGAATTTCAAATTCCACACCCAGAATGGTCGAGAGCTTTCTGAGATATTTTTGGGGTATTTACCACTAATATCCCAAAGAGGGAGGGGGGAGGAGAAAAGAGTGGGTCTATACCCCATCTAAAATAACTCCAATCTGAACGCACACAGGGCTCTCCGTCCTTTGCTGAGATGCCTGCCTGACCGGTCAGATGTATTCTCTTAACTGAACTTTGCTAGCATGCTTACTGTTACTTTCTGGCTCATGTCTGAAATGCTTGTATACTGTGAAGATAAAGGACCTCTGATCCAGTTGTCTCCTGTTAACAATTCCAGCTTCCTGCTAATGTGTAGGAAGGCAGCTCAGTTAGGAGACCTGGTCTGAGTTCCCGGGTCCCAGCCTCTGCTGCAGGTATTTGGGGAGTAAAACAGTGGACAGGGGATCTTTCTCTTTATCTGCCTCTCACTCTCTCTCAAATAAATAAGCAACTTTTAAAATATGATTTATAAACTTAGTTGTATACTGCATTTTTTAAATTTATTTTTATTATTATTTTTATAGATTATTTATTTGAAGGGCAGAGATAACACAGAAAGGAGACAGAGACAGAGAAATCCTCCATCCGTTAGTTCACTCCCTAAATGGCTACAAAGGCTGGAGCTGGCCAATCCGGAGCCAGGAGCCAGGAGCTTCCTCTTGGTCTCCCACATGGGTGCAGGGGCCCAAGCACTTGGACCATCCTCCACTGCTTTCCCAGGCACACCAGCAGGAAACTGGATTGGAAGTGGAGCAAACAGAATTCCTACACTGTAGATGGAGGCTTAATCTTCTACACCACAGCGCCAGCTCCTATTTGTTTTTTATTTTAAAAAAATTTATTTGAAACGCATAGGGACAGAGAAAGATAAATAGACAGAGAGATATCTCACATCCACTGGTTCACTCTCCAAATGGCCACACAGCCATGACTGAACCAAGAAGGCTAAGCCAAGCTGGGGTCAGGACTGACTCAGGCAGAAGTCAGGTACAGGAATTCAATCTTAGTTTCCCATTTAGGTGGCAGGGACTCAAGTACTTGAGCCATCACTCGCTGCCTCCCAAGGTACATATTAGCAGGAGGCAGGAATGGGAAGCAGAGTCAAGACCTGAACACAAGCACTCCAATATGGGATGTGCATGCCCCAAGTGGTGTCTTAACCACTCTATCAAATGCCTGCTCAGTAAATCATATATTATAAAGAAAAGATCTATTTCATCTACATCCTAAAAAATTATATATTATCCAGTTGGGGGAAAGACCATTTTTAATATTTTATTGAAAAAAATGAGGCATTCTCTTATGTTTTATGTATTCACAGTATGGTTCACTGGATATCAGATAAGGATGTACTAAAGGCATTAGTGATAGAGACCCTGAAATATTATTACACTTTTCTCAAAATTAACATAGTATTTATAAAAGGAAAAATTGATTAAAATTTTCTTTTAAAATAAAAACAACTTTCTCCAGACTGAAATGCATGGTAGAGACAGAATTGTGTAAAATTCCTATTCACTAGAAAAGAATATTTGACACAAGCTCCTAAATCAGTTACAATAAGCCCAGAAGTACAAAATGATTTAGAGAGACAGAAGGATGATGATCTTGGAAAAACCCACCTAAACCCTTCTGAACCCAAACTACCCTAAACATCAAAGACTCCTGAACCTGCTGGTGTTCAGCAGTATTTCAGGTCAAAAGGAATAACTATGTGGCATCACACCAACATTTTCTACTCAATATAAGCAGAATTCACTTCTACCAACATATTTCTTATGATCCCAAAAGTCATGGTTCATTGCAGAAATGCTAGCAGCTTTAATACATGATAAATTCAGAATAACTGCATGAAGTACAGGAGGATGTTGAATAATACTCACAGTGAAGTTGATGAGGTCATAGTACAGATGAAGATGCTTTTGCTTCGTAACATGTATTGCTCCGGATTCATCCCTTTTAACCTAATGTTGAAATAAAAACAACCTAAGTACCAGCTACTGTTTGAGGCGCTGTCTTACATAATTACATTCCACATAAAAGATGATTCTCATTCAATATAGATTAGCCAAAAATATTGATATGACACCAGTGAAAAAAAATTTTACTCCATGATCTGAAACAAACCTAAAGCATACCTAACTAGTGACCTAGCTGTTGGTATTAGCGAATGTTGTACCAGGGTGTTTTCTCTGTCATAATCCACGACCTAACTTCATCACATCAGTGATTATGTTTTGTTAGAACTAAAGTATGGATTGGGATTGTTGACAGAGTATGATGAAATTTTAAAAAGTTGCAAAGGAAAAATTTTAAAAAGTGGCAAGTGATCAATTTCAGTTCACAATTGATCATAATGAAAGGACTAAGAGTCAAAGGGAGCACATAAACAAGTCTAGTATCTGCTAACACTAACCGATAGAATAAATAAAGGGGAGAGTGATCCAACATGGGAAGTGAGATACTCAGCAGACTCATAGAATGGCGGATGTCCTAAATAGCACTCTGGCCTCAGAATCAGCCCTAAAGGCACTCGGATCTGGCTGAAAAGCCCATGAGAGTATTTCAGGCATGGAAAGCCAAGACACTCTGGCAAAAAGATCTCTGTGAGTGAGATCCCAGTGGAAAGAACAGGTCTTCAAAGAGGGAGGTGCCTTTCTCTGAAGGGAGGAGAGAACCTCCACTTTGACTATGACCTTGTCTAAACAAGATAAGAGTCGGAGAACTCAAGGGGCTTCCATAGCCTTGGAAACTCATGACTGGTGCATAGGGAGATTACTGATGCCATAAACAGGAGTGTCAATTTGTAAAGTCAACAACAGGAGTCACTGTGCACTTACTCCTCATGTAGGATCTCTGTCCTTAATGTGCTGTACACTGAGGCTTAATGCTATAACGAGTACTCAAACAGTATATTTCACTTTGTGTTTCTATGGGGGTGCAAACGATTGAAATCTTTACTTAATGTACACTAAACTGATCTTCTGTAAAAAAA